TGGCCTAATTCGACACTAGAAATTAAAACGGTCATAACTTAGTCATTTTAAATCGAAATTGGGTCATTCTTGAGCTCAAATTCAAGGATTTTTCGTCTTCTTTCCAATGGTACCAATTTCATTATCAGATTCCCATCCTACTAGGAGATATTTATGTTTTAGTGAGAAAGTGTCGGAAAACTATTTAAACCAATATGGAGTATTTAAAGGAAACTATTTGACATATTTAGTTGCACTAATTTGTGTAAATATAATAAATTAATAATTTGTTAGGGAAGGAAGTGTATATATATATATATATATATATATATATATATAATTATTTATATATGGGTATATATAGTTTAATTTGTCTATGAGTTGTATGGAAGGATGAATATATATATATATATATATATATATATATATATATATATATATGTATGTATGTATGTATGTATATTGATTTTAAATAATCAAGGATTATTAAAGAAGGTGTTAAACACATATATACATTAAATAACATATGTGTAGGTATATATATATATAAATCATTTAAGATGATTAATATTATCATTCTTATTTGGCATATCTTAATAGGCTGGTTGTTAAATTAATGATATGCGTATAATATGCATGTGATGGCTATGTATGATTTAGCGTATTGTTAATTTTAAAGTTAATTCATGGTTAAAGTGTAGGCATGGATGAATTGTCAAATGATTAAATATATTACTTAAATATTTGTATGAATAGAATACATATATGGAAAGTATGGATGAATTGCTAATTAAATGTATGAATAAATATACCTGTGGAGGCATGGTTGAATTGCCAATGTATAAATATACATACACGGAGGCATGGTTGAATTGCCAATGTATAAATAAATATACTTATGGAGGCATGGTTGAATTGCCAATATATAAATAAAAATATTTACAATGGCATGGTTGATTTGCCAAAGCATAATTACGTTGTTATGTGTTAGATGATTAAAATATCATCTATGGTTGTTGTATGTATGGATTGGATTAGGGTTAGATATTCTTAAATGAGAATAGTTTAGTACTTACTGGTTAGTGTATTATTTTACATTAATAAAATAATATTGGGGAAGACGTGGATGATTTGTCAAAACTTGGATTTTGGATATGTGATTTAAACAATTTAAATCATTATCGGGTTGGGATTAAATAGAGTATTTCTTTTATTATAATTTGTTGTTTAAATGATTAGACAACTGACTAGGATGGGATTAAGGTCAAAGGAGTTTTTATAAAATGAAATGGTAGATTGGTCTAGGTATGAATATTATTTTAATAATTATTTAATAGGTATGGAAATTTAATAAACCTATTAATGGATGTGATTAGTATAGTATATATAATTATATATAGACATGTATATCGTGCTTTATTAAAGTTAAAACTTTATTAGGTTTGGTTTTGATCAGAGATGATCTGCTTATTGGTTTTCAGAGGCCTGGTAGAGTGAACTTGCTCGTAGGGTTTAACCCACGATTTATTTTTCAGGTTATTAGAGGTTCCAGTCTCGAGGTTGAGGATCCGCAGCTGGGAGACTGTCATTCGTCTATTCATCTTGTGTACTTTTAAATAGTATTGGATTATTGGATAATGTTTTAAGGGGTCCTTGAGTTATAGGATTTCCGAATTGTAATTGTTGGAAAATCATTAAGTAATATTTATTTATTAGTTTTCTTCAGCGGTTTATTTATTCTTTATTATTCATCTTTGTATTCTGTGCTTGTTAAATACTTAAATTGTTTTGATATCCCTTGATTTTGTGCGCGGACTTGATCAATCCGTGTTCCAAAATTAGGGGGTATCACATTGGGTTAGGACTGAATTGGGTTGAGCCAGCCCAACTTGCATCCCTAATCGTGAGTTAGTAAATTTTAGAAAGAGAAATCAGTTGAGTGTAATATAGAATAAATATGTGTTTATTATGTATTGGGTGAAATATGGGTTGAATATAGGTCAACCCATCTTGACCCTCAAATTAAGTGATTAAAAATTATCCAACCCATTTTTGACTCATTTTTGATATGGTTCATCCAAAATCATTAAAAAAAACGGGCGAATATGGACGGGTTGATAGTTTCTGACTCATTTTGCCACCCTTAGTCGAGATTGTATTATCTCTCCTTTTCAAAAAAATAACTAAAATACTAGAGTGTAAAAACAATTAAAACTATATATTTCCTTTTTTCTTAAATTATGTGCTTATTCTCTTCTCTTTTATTCAACTGAAAAAAGAAAAGAAAATACACAATTTTTAGGGATGTCTTGTCAATCCCTTCCATCCAATTTTCTTCTTCCCTACTTGGTAGAGCATTAAACATTTGTATCATATATTTTGATACACCATTCTCGTATAGATACCATGCTATAACTTCTATCATTCATTATATTACAATGACAAGAAAAAAATCAAATTTTGTCTCCACAAATAAATAATTTAAGTAGCCATAACAATATCAAACTATTTCCATACTACTTGGGGAAAAAAAAAAATTTACTGGTCGTGAATTTCAAAGCCTTTGTTTGATTTCTTCTGAATTATCCTGCAATTTAATCCCAATTGACTCCTTAATCCAAAATAATTTTTATTGAATAAATTGAACTCGATTCATGGAATCCTTCATTGACTTATCCAAGTGACAAATAGGGGATCAACTAATCTAGGACACCTACATTTTGACACACATATATAGTTCCTATATATATATATATATATATTTATTTATTTATCTTTGACAAATTAAGAAGATGGGAATTCGAACACAAACACATTCATTTAAAAAGTTGAACCCTCTGTCAACTAAGCTATCTAACTAAAAAAAAAAAAGACACATTAAACCAACTTAGGTATTGGTAATGTCCTATTTGTTCGTCTTTGATTCAGTTTCATAAAGATCTCAAGGGTATTTGATAGTTTTGTCAATGAAAAAGACAACTTGATTAAGAATTTACCAAAAACGATTAGTAAAAAAATTAAACCACTAATTCAGTCATTTCCTAGTCACATTCACTTTGAACCACGTTTCGGGTTACCATTTGGAGAAAGTCAAGTCAATTGTTAGTGGGCCAAACGCGAAATAACATAAGAAAGATAAAGACAGTTATCTTTATCTCATTAGTCAATGCATGTGGTTGGAAAGATAAAGACAGTTGTGACATAAATAAAATAATGTTGTCCTAGTTACACATTTTCTAGGTAATATTTTTGACTATTGACCTTTTCTTTTCAAGTGGTGTGAACTCAACAGAGCCACAGATAAAAAGGGAAAATAATAGCTTAGGAAAACAAATATGTGGAAAATGAGAATATGTTCCCCAAACGTAAATAAAAAACTAAATAAAATTTACACATTTCATATTCATGTTGAATTGTATTAATCCGACCATATAGTCTCAGTACTTACTAGTCACCAAACACCACTTTCAAAAAGAAAAATGAAAATCCTAAAGCGACAGACACTGACATGTATATATATATATATATATGTATAAAATCAGGGAAAAAAAGAAAATCGTTTGATCTTAAAGGAGATTTTCGCAATTCCCAATTACTAAGGTGAAGTTTTGATCAGAAGACTTGATTTGATCCATGTAAAGCTTTAAAAAAAGGTCGAAACAAAACCCACGATGATACAAAAATAACAAAATACACAATCAGCATAATTTCAGCAACCAGGAACAAAATTCACTCCATCCATATCAAATTCATATAAAACATGTATGTATATATGTATGTATATGAATAAAATCATGGGGGAAAGGAAAACCGTTTGATCTTAAAGGAGGATTTTCGCAATTCCCAATTATTAAGGTTAAGTTTTGATCAGAAGCTTTATGAAAAAAGGTAGAAACAAAACCTACGATGATACAAAACTAACAAAATACACAATCAGCATAATTTCTGCAACCAGGAACAAAATTCACTCCATCCACATATCAAATTCATATAAAACGTGAATGACCAAATCAAAACTTAAAAGCTTTGTGTCATCATCTTAAGGAGTCACATTAATGGTACAAAAATGGGAAACAATTGTTGCGCGACAAAACTAAATCAGAAGTAAAATTTATTTGCAAAGAGGCTGTACAATTAGACCATTAACCTCAGTAGCACTTAACCCATATATATTTGAAGTTCACAGGGAAATAAACACATACTATGCACAATTACAAATCACATGGGACCTGTAACTGTTTTATATATTGTTAGGCTTGTGGGTATCCAACCCAAAAGTAAACCTATTAGGTGGAGTGACCCTTGGATGGATAGAACATCACTGGCCTTCCTGTCTTCCCGCTAGCTAGGGGATCTTGAGTCCACATGCGGCTCTTTGGGACCTAGCTCTGATACCAATTATTGGACTTGTGGGTATCCAACCCAAAATGTTAACCTACAAGGTGGATTGACCCTTGCCCTATATAACTCCCAGATTTCTTTGTTTTCTAACTGATGTGGAACTCGTTCAACTACCCAACATATACGACGTTCATTCCCATAGAGGCAATGAGCCTAAGCCTAAGTGCCTAACATACTCGGGTGCAGTCAAGGAGTTCCTCCTATACACAAGACAAGGAGCTAACAAACACTTCCAATACAAATTACATTACCTTTTGTGATTGCTGCTAATCAAAGGTGCTGGGAAGTGTTAGCTGCATATAGACCTAACCGTTTGCATTATTAGGCGAAGTGACTACCCTTGAGCTCGAACCTCCATTCTCAAGCTAGACAGCCCGAGCCTTAAACACTGCAACAAGCAATGGCACTTGCACACTTCCTATCTAGAATGAGAAATTCGATTGGCAACACTTGCATAACCCATGCCATCCTTATATTTCACCACATCACGTACATTGATAAATGAGAAACATATACGAGAAGAAACGAAAAGAATTCCAATTGATGGAGGAAAACAAGAATGGGAATTTAGTTAACATACATTACCTCCAATGCTATATGAATTCCTGCAATGTTGGTCAGTGATTCAAGTGCTGTCAAATCTTCATTGGGGCAAATTTGCATCTTTATGGAAATACAACTTCTCTATATTTTTCTCAGTTGAAATGCCAAATCTTGTTTCTTTCTGATTTCAGCATTCACTGTTCCTATCGCTCTCGATTTTAAAAGAAAAAGTAGCGAGAGATGATAGTTTCTGATTGCTACACAACATACAGACGACCTTACTGGAATAAATACACAACATAGAGACATGATAGTCACAAAAAGCAAGGATATCACAGAAAAGCACCGACAGCCACCATTGCATTGAAACGTTAACATGTCTATTGATAACATGATATGAGATTTGTCATCGCGAAATCTCATCATTTTTCTCACCTTGTGATTCGACTGCTTCATCTTGCAGCAACTTGGATTCAGAATTTTCTACTCTGAACAATGTAAGACCATCTGAATCATCAACTGTCCTACCGGTATCATTGTTTGTTTCATTATTCATCTCTGCTGCTCTGTTATCTTCAGATTCCTTCATGGTCTCAGAATGGAGTTCAGATTGACTTTGTGAAATGAACAAAGGAATTGGAGTTTCAACACCCAATCCTTTAGAAAGACAAATATACTTGAAAACGAGAGCTTTGTAATTGTTTAGTAAGTCTTCCACATCATTGACTGTTAGATCCCCGGATTGGGAGAACAAGTATGGGAAATCCCTTAAGACTTTGCTAACCTGATCCTCCTTCAAAAGCATACTTGCCCCTTTGTTCTCCAGATCTGAGATAGATGGATCATTGGATAGTGATAACTGTTTCGCATATATTTCCTGCTTATTCCCAGATTTCGTTTCAGACAGTTCGGGTGAAAAATGAGGTTGCATTGAAGGCATCTGATGTTTTCTATCACTTTGATTGAACAGATCATCTGAATCTATTGTAAGGCCTGAAAGAAGTGCTTGAGCAAATTCCATGTTCTTTTCAAACTCAGTTTCATCCATTGAAAGGGCATTTGCATCAATACTCAAAATGAAGGCCTCCACCGAGAGCATGTTCGTGAAGAAATATGCTGCTTCTGCAACTAATCGAGATTGACGCCTGTACCGTTGTATATACAGCAAATTCGAGTGCAGTTGAGGGGGGTTTGCCTATATGATAATCATCATGCAAAACCATTTTGTGAATTTAAAGATTATATATGCCAGATAACATCCGCCTTATCTAAGGTGGTATACATTTATTATCATGGTTTCCTTATCTAAGGCCACATAACAGAAGCAAGCATGTTCCACAAAAAGGGAAGGTCATAACACCAGAAAGCTTCCCAAAATTCAATCTCAGCATTACAAAATGAAAAATGACCATCATTACAGCTAACCGTGAGCAAAAGAGGTAATTCTATAGAGATTATTGTACAATCCATCTACTTTACTAGATGACCCTCCAACATTAGTCCAACAAACAAGAAAGGGGAAAAGAGAAAAAAAAAATATGCTAACAAGACTACAAGCCTAAAGTGTCATTTTTTACTAGCCTACTTCGTCCTAGGTTCTAGTCCAATAATTTTTATGTTAAAATAACTAATTTTCCATTTCCTGGCACAAAGACAAGGAATTGAGTGGCTTCTCAGAGAGGGGAAGCAGACTTGGGAGAAACACGAGATAAACATAATATATTCAACACACACACACAAAGAGGAGCAAATTTTCATTTGTGATGAACAAGGAATTAAAAGAAAGTAGCAACCGCAGATGAGAGCGCGAGGGTGGTGTCGGAATGGTATCAGCCAATGCAATTGTGAAATATTTTAAACCTCATAAATCATGCTCAAAATGAACCAAAACATAACTTTTAACTCTAGAATCTAATAAATTTTTTAAATGAATTTATTGAAAACATGTGCAGAATTTCTTTTTTTAATTCAAATTTTTTTTTTTTTTCCTAGAAAAAATTACTTATGTAAACCAATATATGTGAAGTATCAAGTATTTAATTACTTCTTATTTAAATTTAGTTGTCTACAATTTTGATAATTTTCAGATTTTCTAATTTACTTGTTATTTACTTTGTTTTTCCACAAAATAAAGAAAGATTTATGAAGACTAATCTACACATAATACAAGTTACTTATGTACAATATACATCATACATTTTTGTAGTTTAGTAATATACGTACACAAGCATCTTTTAATATAACTAATATAACTAGGTTAAAATATCAGACAAGTAAAAAAGGCACAGAAAACTAAAAAAAAAAAAACTAAAATTAAGTTTACAATAAACAACACGAAAAGAATATATTTTCATGTTGTATGCATGCAAGTCAATTACACCCTTCGTGAAAATTCAAAATATTCGAAAAACCAGTAGATCAGGACATGCGTGGCAAGATCCACAAATATATTATGTTAGATCTAACATAAAATTATGATCCAAACGGTTATTTGCAATATTGGAAAGCTTTGATCGAAGATTTACGGCCAACTCATCTTTTTTGTTGTTTGATGTGTTTGGAAGTTGTTTAGAGGCTGAGAAACTCAATCAGAAGAGAGAAATGAGAAAATTGAGGGGAAAAGGAGGGTTAAACAACTAGATGGATAAAATGGCATGCCATGGTCTTGATGGCACATCCAAAACATGCCGAATTTGTCGCAGTTCCAAGGCTCACCACAAGATCATGCCGGGTAGGTGTTGACCCTAGCTGAGTATCTTAAGGTTTTACTGAACCACACCAAGTTAAATTCCCTCGTTATGAATTCACTCAACGCAACAAAACTTTTTCTCAACTGCTTGAGATCGGGTACATGAATCCTATTTTTCCATTCAAAAGGCTATATCCTTGGTCAAACTACTTTTTACCCTATCTTTTCTTACAAACTCTATCTATATTGATGTTGGTCTTTCCCTTCCCCTAATATTACCCTCGGACCATGTAACTCTTCCTAACTGAAGCACTTAAGGTTTTCTTTGCCCATAACTTTGGTTATTAATATACACTAATAGAAAAAATCCCCTTTAAAAAGCTTGCCAATTGCCATGAATCTTTTTCTTTGCTTGATTAAGGAAGAACAAAATGGGCAACCATGGAAAAATGTCTCATTGTGCATGATATTTGTTAATGATATTGTCTTGATTACTAAAACTGGAGCAAAATTAAGTTCCAAGTTAGAATTTCCTATTCTTAAGTAACAAAGCAATAAGAAGCAGACGGCAGACCCTTATCCTCACCCTCCATTTAAGATTCCAAGATAGCATTTTTACTACGGTGCTACAACTTTGGAAACTTAGAATTGTGAACAGATTTATAATCCCGCAGGCTTATGCAAATCTCAATTTATTTTAGGGTAAATTACATGGACCACCCCTGAGGTTTGACGTAATTACACAGACTAACCCTAATCTCTCTTTCTCTGACTGTGTGTGTGTGTGTGTGTGTGTATACGTATATGTATATGTATGTATAGATATATATATGTATATATATATATATATATATATATATATATATATATATATATATGAGATTACTTGAGAACCCAAGTTACCCAATATAACAGCACCTTCAAGTAAAAGCGTAAAATTACTGGGGAGATTGAAGTCGTCGCTGAATACCCCATTGGAATAGAATTGGATGAAAGTATAATTCACTACGTGAAGGGGGTCTCTATTGTTATTCGTAAGTCACTTCGAGATTTGTTGCATCAGATTCCAAGTACAGAAGCTCAAATTAAGGTAGTGAACTGCTTGTTTGTTAGGATTGGTGATGTTGAAAAATTAGGGTTTGACCTGAATCAATTGCACATGAGATCATTACCACCACGTGGAAGCGAGACAAAGGTGATCAGAACACCTGGTTTCACGTGCGCGACCCATTCCTTAGGCTTATTTTCCTCAACAAACACGATCGGGTCAACTCGCCGGCCACTCACCAACGCCAGTGTACCCTTGCTGCTTGAAATCCCCTTCAGCCCATCCTCCATTTCCTTTCCCCAAGGCCTCAGATTCAACAAGCTCGAGTTCAAGCTCCCTGTCCAAAGGTACCACCACCGGAGCCTCTCCGACGCCAAGTCGGACTTGGCATAGTTGTTGTGTCAGTGCTGCGTCAATGGCCCCATACACATATTGCAGTTACGAAAACCCAAAATTAGACCTAATCCACGCACACTACACAAATAGACATATATATATATATATATATATATATAAAGTAATTGATAATCAATATGAGAATATGAATTTGCCTGAGTAGTGAGGGGTTTCATGACTTGCTTAGAACCTGGTGGGCCATTGGTATAAGGGCAATTATTTATTTATGTTGTGTTCGGTAAGAAGGGAAGAAGAGGTGTGGAGAGAAAATAGGAAGGAAGTAACAAACTTCCTTTGTTCGGTAGAGATGATATAAGGAAAGAAAGGAAAATAGGAAGGATCCTCCTTTACAAATTTTCATCAGCCCAAAAATGGGTGGAAGAAAAGAGGGAATACAAGTGGACTATTATAGAAGTTTTAAACTAAATACTATCCTAAATTATACAAGTGTTAAATTACAGCACTATCCTCTATAAATTAAAATATTATACATATTATTAGATATATAATGATAAAAACAATTAAAACTTTCTCTTTCCTTATCTTTTAACGAACATAGTAAATTATAAGCTTATTATCTTCTCTTCTATCCAACTGAAAAAAAGAAGGAAATACACAATCTCTTCCCTAGGAATGTCTCATCCATCTCTTCATCTCTCCCTTCCATACAATTTTTTTCTTTCCTACCGAATAGAGCATTAAGGTTGAAATGTGTTTTACAATTGATATAAGGGCAATTATGGTATTTAATCATTTAAAGTTGTATGATGTCAGCAATTTCCGTCGTTGACTAACGATGACCGCTAAAAAGGGAGGTCCGTGTTAGAAGGTTTGTTTTTTTAGGGGAGGTCAGAATAATTTTTAAAACCATAGGGGAGGTCCGTATAATTATGGCAAACCTCAGGGGAGGTCCGTATAATTATGGCAAACCTCAGGGGAGGACCGTGTAATTTACCCTATATTTAATATATGTGATATCCTGAATTTTTAACAAAGCTATGTTATTAGTAACATGAGTTAAGGTTTACTTAAATTTATGTTGGATTAAACCAAATGAGATGGCAACTTTTGCATATTTTACCATATCATTGTTTATTGTGAATTATTAGATGGATCATTTGAGCGAAACCCACAGATTTGTACTTATGGGTTTGGTACAACTTATGACGTATTTAATTATAGCACGATGATGAGTGGAATATAGAAATGAAGTAAAATGTGGTAGAAAAGAACAAGATTGATTAGTGGTGGTGAAAAATAGACATTTAGAAGGAAATAAAGATTTATGATCTTGTGGGAAAACGTAAATTATGAGGAGTGATAAAGTTAGAACAAAATAAATAGGAAATGAAAAAAAAAATATTTTGTGTCATCAAATTAAGGAAGACAAAGACACTCGTAGTATGAGTAACTCACATGGCAATACATAGTTACTATGTGTTGCCATGTGTGGTGTTGCATGTGTCCCATATATATACATATGTCATAAAGCTTACAAGAGAAGCTTTGACTAAGTCTCTAGGGTAGTGCATACACACACACATATATATATATATAGTAGAAATGAGAAAGAGAAGAAGAAGAAAAAAAAAAAAAAAAAAACAGGCAAGAAGGAGACACGGCCAGAGAGAGAGGAAGGAAAGAAGAAAGAAAAAGAAAAGGAGAGAGAGGAAGAGAAAGATAGAAGGAGATAAAGGGAGAAAATTGGGGAAAGCTAAAAGAGGTAGGTTTCCTAACTTTCTCAGCTTTTGAATATATATATTTATTTATTTAATTGTGCTAAAAAAAATAGTAATTTTAAATAAGTATTTCTTCACATGAGAAATGTGGATTCCAGTTGTTAAACTACCTTGTTGAGCATGAAATTAGTTGAAGAATTGTTAGATTTTGAAGTGAATTCTTGTGCAGAAAAACTGAACTAAGCAGTATGGTACAAGGGCTGAAATTCCTATACTTAGACTTGTCATTTGTAAATGTAATTTTGAGATATTAAAGAACACTTGTTAAGAGTTTACAAGTTTTTATTTGGCTCCAAATTGTGGAGTTTTGAAATTATTATGGATTTTTGAAGTAGAAGGTATTTTGCAGTGAAATCTGTCTTAATAGCAGAATTTTTCTTACTGTTTTCTTCCCAAACTGACTCAATTGACAAAGTTATTTATTTAAGTAATAGTCAGTGAGAATTCTATTTTTGGTGAATTTTTAAAGAAAACATGTTTTTGCAGAAAATTTATATAAGTTTTGGACAACTATCCCGCCGTATCCTGAAAGTGTCCAAAATGTATCCTTGCTGTGTCCCAGCTGTATCCAACCAGAAAATAAGATATTCAATTTTCAGTATACTTCTAGCCGTATCCAACATGTGTCCGGTCCGTATCCGCGTATCCGACAAGAATCCGAGTGCCCAATACTGCCACAGTACCCTAAGAGAAGCATCCGTGCTTCCTAGGAAGAAGATCAACAGATTAACAGGTTTCTCTTGAGAATGGTTTGGGATGTTTTTGCCACTTGCGGAATTTGATGCTATTTCATGCTCCCGATGAGCGGGGTGTGACAATATATATATGGGGCAGCATTTTTGGGAACAAAATAAATAAAAAAATGTGATTTCAAGAGGGAAAAAGACTACATGTTACCATCATATCCTAAACACTAGGGAAAATACCAATAAAATAATTGAAGTGATGTCCATGCTTACTGAACTAAGCAACAAGCTGACAAAAGGGTACCAATTAGAGAGAGGACTAAATATTTTAATATGAATAAGGAACCAGATACATGGTGTGAACAGAAAAAATAATTATCAAGTAAGCATGCAACATTTTACTGACCTTACCTTTATAGTAACAAAAATAAGAACTGGAAGAAATTCATCAGCTCCAGGAGGATTCTCATTCGAAGCAATAGAAGCATTTAGCAGTATGTTGTTGATGACCTTGCAACAGTTGAGGATACAGACAAGTTTATCTCTTGGTGCTTTATACATATTGATCTTTTGCAGCTCTTTCTGCGCAAGCTGCCAAATGAAAGTACAAATACAGCATGAATTGAACTGAGCTAACAGTTTATTACCATTTATTTGTTCTTAAAATCAGACAGAACGGAACCACTTGGAACGGCAAAGAAAAAATGCCCGGTCGATGCTAGCCTAAAGAAAATAGATTGAAAGAAGAAGAAGAAGAAGAAGAATAAGAATAAAGGATTTAACATGAAAAGCAAGCAAACATCAGTTCTGGAAACTCCACCCATTAACATCGTGCTAAAAATTTGTAATTGATAATTGGACATATTTCCATAAATTTCATGTCAACAGAAAGCAAAAGATTAAATCTGCATTTTTGAATATTCCTATTACCTAAAGTTATAAGATGCTCTTCATGTGAAAATTTGAATAAATAAAGATGCAAATGGTTATCTGTACATAAATTTGAAGGAAATTAACGTTTAGGATAATTGAGGAGATGATAGTTGCAATGAATCTTTAAAAATCAAATTTATGTTATTTTGGACCAGTAAGCAAACAGCAAATGGAAATAAGCCGCATAGAAGTGTCAAGTGGAACTAAGCTGTGTAGAGGTGTTCTTTCTGTGATATGAATTGGAGGAACCTCCTCCAATTTAATGATATGATAGGGAAAGCAAAGGATCGTTAATGTAATATGTTACCACAACACTTTAAAAGGAAAGAGGTAATACACGTTCCAAAAAAAAGCACAGTTTTAGCATTGCTCCTGTCAAATCATAGTGTTGGAAGAGATTGCTCCAACCAGGCAGAATCCCAACTTTTAAGCATCAACCAAACTCACAGGATACAAAACACAGGCATGTATTACAGCAGTGCAGGCCCCTACCACCTATGATATGATGTTAATTACTAGCTCCTCGAAAAGCTTCTACTATTGGAATGGGTGTAAAATAAAAAATATATATCATCAACATTGTAACCCCAGAGCGGTACAGTTCAGCATCATGTATGTGCAATTTTGACTAGAATAGATATATCTAATAGCAATTATAGATACAATTATGTATTGGCAACCTTTGATGTTTCAGCCCTCAGCCCACAGCTCATTATTAGCCTGTTTAGTTCAATATAGAATCCTCATCTTAATAATAAAATAAATACAATTTCCAAACTATAGCTTGCTACAGTTGGTACTGATATACTAGCTCCTCGAAAAGCTTCTACTATTGGAATGGGTGTAAATTAAATATATATATATATATCATCAAAATTGTAACCCCAGAGCAGTACAGTTCAGTATCATTATTCATGTATGTGCAATTTTGCCTAGAATAGATATATCTAATAGCAGTTATAGATACATTTATGTATTGGCAACCTTTGATGTGTCAGCCCTCAGCCCACAGCTCATTATTAGCCTGTTTAGTTCAATATAGAATCTTCATCTTAATAATAAAATAAATACAATTTCCAAACTATAGCTAGCTACAGTTGGTACTGAGATTGAACTAAAAATTGTTTGAAAATGGGAACTCACATGAAAGAAAGGCCTAGGATTCAAGGACAAGGAAAATGTAGCACTCCAATCACAGACAAAAGCATAAAATGAAATACCAAAAATATAAACAAGGGAATGATACAGTCCATAAGAACGTTAGAAAAAGTAAATTTAAAGAAAAGAAAAAAATTAGACTTGCTTCTATTTCAAGACACGGCCCACTTGGGACCTTGCATAAATAATCAGGCTTTAGCTTCAATGGAGTCCCATTTTATGTTAGTTTCATGTCAGAATGCTGGCTACAATAGTGATTCATGAGTCATATTGTGGGTCAACCCATCACATTGAGTCCTTAAAATTAGTATGTTTACAAGAATTTTATGAGTCAAAAAGAATTATAGAATCAAGTCCGCTTAGAGTTAGAATTAGCCAGAAGTTTATTTAGAGAAATGTAATTCTTTCAATTCAATCGAGAACAAGTTTAGGAAAAACTTCAGAATCGTTTGAAACTATTATGGAACTGCATGATACAATTCAACCCCTAGATATGATGCTTACCAACTCCATCTTAGTTCTTTTACTATTTATTCTTCACTTTTTACGCCTGTAAAATCTCACACCCATTTCTACCCTTAAAAATTCTATCTATCTGACAAGCCCTAATCCTTTCCCTTTTTGACTATTATACGCAAGGCTCCAAAATTAAAAACATAACCCTAATTAAGGTTCAAAAGCGAAGTCCGGCTCTTCCATTATCTTATCAAATCCCCTATCAACACTAATCATTTCCATATTCCATAGCCATTTTCTATAACACTCAAAACTCTTCCAATGGATGTTGTCCAGAGATTCCAGCAGTTCTTTCGTTGAAATTTCCCAGATGCAAACACTACTAAACCTTAGCCAACTTCAACCCCTCACCACCCGTAAAGCCTACAACATTTTTCTACATGTTTTAAGACCTACATCTATATCTTCCTTGACAAAAAGTCTAGTACACGGTCAATAGAAAAAGGCTAATCATTCCCTTTACTGGGCTGCCCTGCTTCAATTGGTATCAGAGCTAACAAAAAAAATGTCTTTGTACTTGTCCCACATCCAAGACACAGCAGCAAGATTACCTGTGGTGCAGTTTCAGCACACACAACTACGTATGTGCCCAAAGGTATCTTTGTTTGTTTATGTAAAAGAACCCTACTGGTTGTCCTCCATAATTATGCCTTTCCCCAACAACCCCCCCCTCCCTCCTCTCCTCTTCTTTCCCTTTTTTTTTACTGGGCTGCCCTGCATCAATTGGTTTCAGAGCTAGCAGAAGAATGTCTCTGCACTTGTCCCACATGCAAGACACAGTAGCAAGCATGGGTTACCTGTGGCACAGTTTCGGCACACAACTACATATGCACACGAAGGTATCTTTGTTTGTCTATGTAAAAGAACCCTACTGGTTGTCCTCCATAATTATGCCTTTTTCTTTTCTTTTCTTTTTTGATTCCATGAGACAAAGGATACAATGCTCATCCTCTAATAGCTGTATCATCACAGAAGAAAGTACGAACTTCATAAAGGGTTCCACAATCAAAATTCAGAGTAGAAATGTCATTCTGCATATTCAAATAATCATGGAAGAGGAAAACCCTTAAGGAACTAAAATGATGATCATGAGTCAATATGCCTTTCACGCCAATAAGTCTCCAACAAGCAGACCATTGGTAGACAAAAGGTTTCAGCATTTTACAGGGAAAAAATATCACCTCACACATGCATTTCTCTACTCACCAACCATGATGTTTCATTTTGAAAAGTCGGCTTAATATCCAAATTCTCTGGCCGAATGAATTGTTGAAGTAAAGCCATTTTTTTATGAAGTTGATCATCAACTTTTACATCATCTGGAAGTGAAGCAAATACTCGGGTAAATAACTTTGTCATCACATACTTTTCCAAACCCTGTAATGAAAGATATATGTGCACGTCAAGAAAGATATTTAATTAAAATAAGATATTGACAGGAGAATTGCATAATATGAAAATGAATATATATATAAGAAATAAATTATAGAATAGAGACCTTCCAGAAAAATTGAAATATAAGAAGTTAGAAATAAAACAAACAATGCATTCTTTTACCTTAACGGTAGTTAATAATATGTGACGACACATAATCTAGTTGCATTCCAATAAGGACACGATTTTTCAGACATTGGAACTTTCAAAATTTGGACCTAAAGATAAGACTACATGTTTGTATGCATCTTCTATGTATGCAAATGTATTCTATTGAGTGTCTACTCTACATTAATCCATTACTGTGTCTAAAAAAACCACTAAGAATCAAAATGATAAAAAAATAAGTGGGTCATTTCATTATAGGTTTTGCAGAGGTCTAGTTCACATCTTCTCTAGCACTGTATTGGTGTAAATATAAGGGGTTTCTTCTGAGTGTGTCCAGAGTGTGCCAAAACAAATTGCATGAAGACCGCATATAATGGTCAAATCACATATACTCGCCTTAGTAACAGCATAGGAACATACACACACACAAAGAGAGGGCACACAGAGAGAAACACGTGTTTGCATGGGACACGTACACACACACAGAGCATATGCCAATCAAACCCAATAACAGGGAGAAAAAGATTGAATAGAATATAGAATATACACATTAGGGCTTATGTAATTAGCAAATCTCACAGGGGTTGTGCGGGATATGCGGGGTGTTTTCCTGGTTATTTCCATTATATATATATATATATATACATATATATGAGGCATTAGGGTGAGGAGAATGAGCAAATCGACAGTTTCTTTCAGCCAATTATCCAAAGGTTTTCTCCCTTCATCTAATCCTAATTTCTACATGGTATAGAGCATGATCCTGGGTGATGTCTTGCAGCTCCATTCCAACTCGCCTTCATCAATCGCCATTGTCAGCTTCTAAGATATTGATACCAGAGATCGTCGTCGCCATCATCAACCTCTAAGAAATCAAAACCAACAATACGCAATGGAACTGCTATGGGCAAAAGGAATAAATTGAAAACAGATTGGTATTGTGTCTGCTATTCTGGCAATAGCGAAGATCAACAGGGTATCCCTAAACCACCTTGTTCTTCAAAACCTTTCTTCCAACTCATAGAAAATCCACTAAGAAAGGGGAAGAGATATTTGCTCAAAAGAAACCCTTCACAGAAATGCTATCACCACTTTCCCTCTTCCCGTAACCTTTTTTCTGCTTCAGCATAACATATGTCAAAGAACTATAAGCCATTTCACCTGCACGGCATAGGATAAATCCTTGTGTTTCTGATTCCGGACCTAAAATATGCTAGGTCCATAAAAGACAGGAAATAGCCCATAAAGTTAGCTAGTAAGATTTTTTTTTCCCAATTTCACCATTTCCATGTATTTTTTCAAGGTTTAGACAGCAAAACCATTAAAATTTCTCACATCTAGTTCTGATCTTTTATTAAGATATTATCAAAGATCACATCCTTCACTGTCTTCTTCTTCACTAAAACCATTCCATGACTGCTACACCAGTTCACACACACACGTCATTTGATATCTCTAGAGGCATAAAAAATTAAGGCCCTCCATGTATTTTATTTATTTAACAATCTCTTGACACATCCTCCATTTTTCCTCCGTATTGTTGTTTTCAACCCATTCTCTTTGGTCATAGCTTATTAACGAAAAACAATTCAATCTGATTGAAATATTTAGCACTCCTCTAATGTGTATATATGGCATAATGGATTAAAAAAAATACAAAAATGAAATTGAGTAGCTAGAATTAATGCCTTGTTTTTTATTATTACAATTATATATATGTATATGCCAATCAAATATGTGTGCTATAATCTCACACTCTATTGAAACTTATTAGATAATTCATAATACTGTGAAAAACTACAAAAGGCCGTTCCTTTCATAACTTCAGTGATTAACATGGACAGCTGAAATACTCTTCAATGCTCCATCTTGAAATCATTGTAACCAAATTGGAGTTTCACCGATTCATGTTCATGACAGGTGTGCAGGAAATACATATGTGACTGTGTGTATGCACATACGTGTGCCAAAGGACACAAATCTTAAGTTGCTCATCGTGGGGCAAAAGACAATGCCTCCGGTCCTCGCCTTTGGTAATCAAAACCGTTGAGCAGTAGACTTTCTCATATGCATTGCGGTTTTGTTCTTTGTTATTTATTAAGGCCAGATGCTCCAATTGATATACTTGCACAGGAATCAGAATAATTAAGTGGCATTCATTTCTATTATTACTTATCTGATAAAACAAATTTCTGTGCCCTCTTCCTATACAGAACTTACCCCCTCCCCCTGGGAAAAAATATATATTTACTTTTTTAGGAATGAGAATTTCCGTGAGATAACAATTGGTGACCAAAAAACTGTTCTTAACTCGATTGGTTATTAAAACTCTTCAACAAAGTAATGCAAGCTATAGTGCTATACTACATGTATCAGCACCTTTATCATCGATTGAGCAAAATGTAAATTTTGCCTTCTATGGAAGTTCTATATTGACCACCGCTAATGCTTTCATCTATATCATGAGGTCATGCATGAGAAATTAGAAAAGAAAAAGGGTAAGAAAATTACCAGATAAGAAAGAACGTAATAAATTCATCATCCAATTAAGAAAACAACTAATAAAAAAGTTAACTCACTTCACCAGCACTCTCTAACTCCTCCTCTGAGCAACCAGCCCAAAGTGGGTGAGCTCTGAAAGCTGCTTCCATATTGTTAAGGAAATCCTGTACAGCGGCACTGTCCCTTTCTGGATCAGGAGCATTGTTTGAGAAGGACACAATAAAACTGCCACATTCACATGTTCCATTCAAAACCTTGCATATAATTGCTTTACAACATATATGCATACAAACTTATATATTTAATTATGAAAAAAAAAAAACTTATATTTATGTATGAATTTTGCTACTTATATATATATATATATATATATATATATATATATATAATACAACAAAGTACTGAGTGTCTCTCTTCTATTAGATAGAAGGTCCGGTGTCTCACTGGTTCACATCTCAATGCATCCAAAGGAGTGAGTATGGTTATTCACATCAGTGCATATAGCAACACTCTTTATTTATTAGTACTTTTTTATTTTATTCTTCCAATTAAGTATCTTTTTTAATCATGAAACAGTGTAACGGTCAAATTATAAATAATTCATTTCTTTCTTTCCTCTTTTCCTTTCTATTCCATTAAATAACACAAGAAAATAACGCCTCTTTTTTTTATATCATCATCCTATCCAAGTTCCATCTTTAAACTAGCATAATTGTAGAGTAGCCATTGTTCAAAAGTAATGATAGAAAAGCTGATTAATAAATGGAACTGATAATTCATCATACGGTTACCGCAACAAAGGACCCAATTTGGCGACAAATTGTGTCCATAAATTTTCAGGGGAACCAAGATAAGCTGAATACACACCAATGGTTGTTGCCAAAGGCTAAATGGTATGTTCAATACACAGCATTGGTGATAGCCAAAGGCAAATTGTGTGAATATTATTTCCCTGTAAATGTAAGCTCAAGGGACATTGAGCAAAGAAATGGCAGATTAAATATGATCCATTTCTTATAATTCATAACTTCCAACTTCTTTCAATTCAACCATTTCCATATGGAGCAGTTCTATGCCCAAGGACTCCCCAACATTTGACTGAATTCCTTACAAGTCAGAGAACCCAATAGACCCATATACTGTACAATGCCCACTAATCGAATCTTGAATCAGTTCAAAATGTTCAAAAAAAAAAAATTTCCAATTTTATATATAGAGGTAAATATACACATATATGCAGAATTGACTAAAATAGTTATTAGCATTAATTGTTTTAGCTAAAAGAACAAAATTAATTTATACTTTTAACAAAGGGTCATATTTATGTAATTGTGACTATAATATAGTGTAAATATGGTTTGAATCGGAACCTTTTGATGGATTTGACACAATCGGCGGCGGACGGTTGTCGCATGCGCTCCAGGAAGTCGTGCCACGTCAGAGGCGCCGTCGACGATCCGAACACGTCGGCCGTCTCCATTCTCCGCCGTAAAACCACTGAAGGTCCGAGATTCCAGAATCGCAGTACAGATCAGATCGTCGGAGCTGCGGCCGGCATCGATGATTGAAAACAAGGGAGGTCAGAGCAGTAGCTTAAGTAGATATAGATATATATATATATATATATATATATAGATATATATCTATAGAGAGAGATGGTCATGGACTGCAAAGAAGAGTAGTGGAAAGGATCCCAAGGACAGCCCTCTAAAGAATGGGCCATATTGTTTCAGTGGTCTACACCGAGTCCGGCCCACTATATTTATTTTCTTTTTCTTTTCTTATACCCATGTGATATTCGTGTTTTTTTTTTTCTTTCTCTAATTTTTGTACTATTGCACTGTATTTGGTTTGCTTTTGTTTTTTTAATAAATCATTAAAACTAATCATCCATAAAATATTGCGATAAAAGTCCTCTCCCCGCAACAGTAAATCTGTCATAATCCTAGCCGGTAAAGATAATTTGGAATACACCTTATAAAAATATTGTAAGATTTGACTTTATGTCTCAATATTTTTCTAGCGTACATTTCAATTTTTTCTTCACTGACTGAAATGGATGTATACCATGTACTATTGCGCCGAAGAGGATTTTAAATCCAAAATAATGTGTGAGACTTATTTCCCTTTTTCCAGTAAGTGAAATGGTAGTTAAGACTTAGTTGGTGTTTGGGATTGCTTCTTTATTATTGAAAAACATTTTCATTCAAAAAATTTGTGGTGCAATGTGTTTGGTGAAAAAAAAAAAAGGTCTTAAACAGGCAGAGGTTATATCTAAAAAGTGCGTTTAAGTGAAGTTAGAAATAGTAGTTTTTAAAATGTTTTTAGGTAATTAATTTTCTTGTATACAATTTAATTTCTTTATATTTTTTATAAATACAATTTTATCCTTTTTACAAATAAATAGCAAATGGGACTCTGTAACAAATCCTAGTTTATTTTGAGAGTCTTCGCCGCCTTCCAATCTCAATAGTGCATCACCATAACTTGTATCGTATCATGTATGCATGATTTGAAATGCCAAATAGCTATAGTAGACTTATTCCGGATCTTCTTCGAAGATAACTTCTAGTTTAATTGATTGGGTTGGAAGAATATAATTTCTTATTCGAAGAAAATGCCTAGTAGCCTGCGACAATTGCTTGAGTGGGAACCAGTATTAGAAACCTTTTCGCATCATCAGCATCAACGGCTCAAATTATGAAGTCAGTTTGGACGTGTTCTTTACATGACTAGCCTTTCTTTACATGACTATCATTGTTAAGTTGCATATGTAGTATATCAGAGAATGTCCTCCACCAAAATCTGATTCTCCATCATTCATGGTCTCTCCACCCTATCAGGCCAAATCAGAACCAACTCCAACAGATTCTCCTCCGTTGGAATAACAGATGATGCAGTTAAAATTTAGTTTTATAGTTGAGAGATATTATGAACTCTTCCTGTAACAGATCATGCAATTAAAATTCAGTTTTATAGTTGAGAGATATTAAGAACTCTTCTTGTAACGTAGTCAACAGCTAAGTGTATATATATACACCACCTCATGTAAACTAATTATCAATTAATTAAAAAGAAACCATTCAGTTCATTAAACTCTTTATGGTATCAGAGCGATCACTCCAACGGGATTGATCCTGCCTTCTTTTTTTTTTTTCTTCACAAATGGCATCTGACTCCCCAAACAGCAATTCTCAGCCCATCGTTGCTGTTCCTCCCAACTCTACACATAATTTGAACCCATTAATGCAGCAGCACAGTTACCTCTAAAACTAACAGCATTCAACTACTTCTCTTGGAAGGCTCAGTTCAATGCCCTGTTCTTCGGATTGGATCTCCTCGACTACCTTAATGGTTCATTCCCGTGCCCCTCTCTAACAATTGACAACAATGGTCAATCCGGTGCCAATCCAACTCATCTCTTATGGCGGCGTCAAGACAATCTCATATTGCATGTTATTCTTGCTTCGTTAAGTGAATCGGTAATTCCTCTGGTCTCTTCTGCATCATCAAGTCAGGAAGCCTGGACTCGTCTCTCCCATCTCTATGCCAACCGATCCAACTCTCATATCATCCACTTGAAGGACAAACTCACCATGGTTACTGGTGGATTGTCCTCTGTCACAGACTTCTTCATATCTATCAAGAGGATTGCTGATGAACTAACAATTCTTGGCACTCCCCCAAGTGATGCCGACCTTCTCGTTTATAGCACTATGGTCTCGGCTCTGCTTACAAGGAACTTATCGCTGCTCTGCGAACAAGAGACTCTGTGATACCGTTTAAAGAATTATTTGATAAGATCATCGATCATGAGGCTTTCATTCTTCACAATGAAACACATAATCCTGATCCCAGCCCACATATTGCAAATCTAGCAAAAACCTCTCAGCCGCCCTACCGCTCATTCAAACCTACCATTTCCTCCACTGCTCCTGGTTTATTACCAAATCCTTCATCCGCAACCAAACCTTACAAAACCAGTACTCCTCATCACAATACTTCTCCTCCCAATTCGATTTTTTGTTAGCTTTGTGGCAAGCGTGGCCATGATGCTAAAAATGTTTCAAAATTTTCCCTCACCTACGACCTCAACGTCCCTCAGCTAATCATGTCATAACATCAGCCTCTACTGCAAGCCCGTGGATAGTAGATTCTGGTGCCTCGCATCATGTCACGTCTCAAATGTCGAATCTCTCTCTTCATCAACCTTATGAGGGTCCCAATGACATTGTCATTGGTGACGGTTCAGGTTTGAAAATTACTCATACTGGTTCTCTATCTTTTTCTCCTTCCTTTACTTTATCTAATGTTTTATGTGCTCCTTTCATTAAACAAAATCTTATTTCTGTATCTAAATTATGTCGCTCTAATCACACTTCTATTGAATTTTTTTCTTCTCATTTTCATGTCAAGGATTTATGCACGGGGACTATCCTACTCCGCAGAAAGAACATGCATGATCTTTATGAATGGCCGACTGCTGAACGTACAAATAAAAGCTCCGTCGTGGCTCTCTCTACTGGTGTGGCTGTCAAAGCATCTTCGGTTGTCTGGCATGGGCGGCTCGGTCATCCCTCTTTTAAAATAATCAAGTCACTTGTTAATTCTGGTTTAGTGTCTCTTTCGTCTTCTATTTCTCCTGACTTTATCTGTGAGTCTTGTCTTTGCAATAAAAGCCACCGTCTTCCCTTTGGTGAGTCTAGTCTAGAAAGTCATGGCCCCCTTGATTTGGTTTACACTGATGTTTGGGGGCCCTCTCCAGTCAAATCTGTTGATGGTTTTTATTATTACGTAATTTTTGTTGATCAATTTACAAAATATGTTTGGCTCTATCCCTTGTGTTTGAAATCTGATGTCTTTACCATTTTTCGCCACTGCAAGGTAGTCGTTGAGAAAATTTTCAATTGTTCAATAATCTCTGTTTATTCGGATAGTGGTGGTGAATATACTACACTTACGGATTTTTTAAGTACTATGGACATTCAACATCTCAAAACACCCCCACATACACCTCAACACAATGGCACTGCCGAAAGGCGTCACAAACACATAGTTGACACTGGTTTTACTCTTCTTCATCAGGCAAAAATTCCTCTAAAATATTGGTCTTACGCTTTTCAAACTGCAGTTTACCTAATAAATCGTCTTCCCACTCCTGTAATTAATTTTTCCTTTCCTTACGAAAAATTATTTTCTCGAAAACCAAACTACAATAAACTCAAAGTTTTGGTTGTCTCTGTTTTCCTTGGTTAAAACCTTACACCCCTAATAAACTGGAACCTAAGTCCTCTCCTTGTTCCTTTCTTGGTTATTCTCCTAATCATAGTGCTTATTTTTGTATGGATATTAAGACCAATAAAATTTACACTTCTCGTAATGTTCGGTTTGTTGAAACCCATTTTCCTTTTTCAAAACAATCATCTTCCACTGATTTCTCTTTCTCTTACACTGATTGATTTTTATCTTCCCTTATTTTTTTACGTTCAACTTCTTCAACCCCGTCTTCAGCAACGACACCCATGCCCGTCACTGAGTCACAGTTGCTATTCGAAGACCTCACGGCTGTTCCACTAACACTTCTGCCTAGGCCATCCATAGAATCATCGCCACAAAATTCAGCGGAATCAGGTAACTCTGCGAAATTCCTCCTCTATAAGTACTCCTACGTCTTCATTTCCTATGTCCAATTCTCACTCTACATCACCTCAACAACCTGTTTCTTTCTCCTCCCACCAAGAATCCACTGTACCCACACCCACTCAACCAAAACCACCCTCTCATGGCATGACCACTCGCTCAAAAACATCATCTTCAAACCAAAGCACCCATATCAAGTCTATAGGAAACGTGCTAATTTAAAAAAAATTTCGAGGGATTTTGATTCATAAATCTTGATTCATCACATAGAGACAAGTTTTAAGCAAAAAAAAAAAAAAAAATGATGTATCATTCAATTAACAGATTAAATACTTACATCAAAGGTCTGAGTAAACCTTTAAAACTTTCCTCTAAAGTGAATGTTCTCACTTATTGTAGATCCCTTAGCAAGATGTCTTCTCCTTGGATCTCCATCTTCTTGGTAATTGTTTTGCCTTTACGAATCACTCAAATGTCTCCATGAATGACCTTGGAAAACTAAGCTTGTGGGAGCCTCCATTAGATGAGAACATAAACCCTAATTTTCTAGAGAGAGAAAATATATTCCTTTTCTTTTTTTCTAAAAATCATCCCTAAAATATACATAGACCATGTATATTTATAGGCAACATAAAGATAAAGAAAAGGAAACAACAAATCCTTCTCAATCTTTAATTCACATGTCTCAAATTTAATATGATTCCAATATCAAATTGGGCTATGAGTAAGAATTCATTGGGCCGATTATTTTATTGGCTATAATGAATTAATAATTGGCCCGGTCCATGGACCCAATTCAATTAATTTATAAATTAATTTCTACTCCACTAAAAGAAATTAATTGAACTCCAACTAAATAATAAATAACATCTAAGTCAATATTGCACTTTGACCCCTCTATGCATAATTAGTTATCGGATAAATAAAGCCATCAATCCGACTACTTAATTAATATATTTATTTTGATACCTTTGATTATTTCTGATTCGATCACAATAAAACATTTG